CCTGTTTGAACTAAAGGGCAAAGATCTCAGCAGTATCAGCCTGGAGCCGGGCTTCTGTGTGTATAAAGGGGAGCTCAGCCCCTGCCCTCTGTTTGTCCACTAGTCTTATCGACAGAGCCCAAGTCCCAAGTTCAGAGGTTCCAGTTCCTTCCCGATTTGCTGGGTAAAGTCCGGCTCTTCCGTGCGGGTGGGCAGGGCGGGCGGCCAGCCTGGAGCCAGCAGTCATTTACAGCTGGGGCTGTGCTTCCGTCCTGACCTGCGAGCCTCTGGCTGTAGCAGACAGGCAGACAGATGACTGGGCACAGGCACTTAGAAGTGCCTTCTCTCCTTCCCTTTCTCCCCTTTGCCCTCTGTCTTGGGCTGACTCATCTGGTGCCCCACTGGCCTGGGCACCCTTGTGTCTCTGTGTGCAGGGCCAGCCAAGTCGTGCTCCCTGCAGCCTCCTTGAAACCAGAGATCTTTTGGGGCCACTCTGGCCCTCATGTTGGCACACACACTCATGATCACCCACGTATTCACACACAACCACACGCTTCCAGTTAATGCCAGGACTGTTGCTGAGATCTTTCCCAGAGAGAGGCACTTAACTGGTGCCACTTTTATGGGGGATAATAAGAACTATTGCCTGGAGAACAGCTTGCTGGTTCCAAGGTCCTTTCATCTGCTAGTCTCATCTGATCTACAGGACAATCGGGAGTCATGGAGATAGTTATCAGCTCTATTTTACAGATGTGCAAATGGAGTTCAGAATCAATGGCTTCATTTAATCAACCTTTCATTCAACATAGTTAATGGGGAGCTCCCAGCTATGAGGTGGTGGGAATTTAGAGGCGACTTAGACCCCATCCCTCGTAAGGTTGCTCAGAAAGTTAGAGAAAAAAACAGTGATTGCAAGGGAGGGCACAGAATGCCAGAAGCAGCACCCTGGGGGACTGAGCTGGGAGCAAGGGTGTGGGGTAGGCGCTCAGGAAATACTTCCACAAGGTCTGTCCAAGATCCTTGCAAAGCACAAGGAGACCTAAAGAAGGGTCGTGGCTCTTGATGGTATCTGCGAGACATTCTCTGTCTACCAGAATCCCGGCACACATTATACACACACAAGGGGCCTTTCGTAGGTCCCACAGACTATCCTATGAAACATCAGCCCCTTGAGAGGAGGGACTTCACCTGTTTTGTGAGATGCTAATTATCTCCAGGACCCAAAATGGAGCCTGGCTCAAGGCACTCAATAAATATTTGCTGTGGAATGAATACACACACACACACACACACACACACACACACACACAATGCATGCATGCCACTTTGTATCTCAGAACTGTTGAATCCACAAGCTGCAGGAAGCTTCCGGAATAATACAGATTGCTAGCTGGGAGCAGATCCAGAGCCTTGGAGACCTGACTCTGAGTCCTGTTTGCTTCCCCCAAAGACCAAGGAACTAGGGGTATATGTTGGAGCACTGAAGCTCTTTATATCTTCCAACTGGTGTGACCTTGTGCTTGTGTACTACAGCCTAAGAAGTTCCTGCTGGCTGTTCCAGGAGCCCTTTTCCTGCTCTAACGTTGGGCGAGTGTTGGAATGGGCCAGAGGCACTAGGCAGAAATTTCTCTGAGCTGAAGAAACTCCTCTTTCCAGCCTCAGAAGGCAGACAGGAGTCCCTGTGCCAACCCTTGTGGCCAGAAAGGTGCCTGGTCCGTGGTCACAGCTGCCAGCTCCCTGGGCTCTGCACTGCTGTAGGGTAAGGTAAAAAGTATCAGGCTTTTCTGCCCTCCCACCATTAGGATAGATGAGGGAACCCTGTGGTCCTGAATGCATGCCTGATGGCGGGCACCTGAAGTGGGTACACCTGGGCTGAGAGCCCGAGTTTATAAGGGTGGCGTCGCGGGGACGCCAGCAGAAGCCAAGAGTGAACGGAAGCCGAGTGAAGAAGAGAAGCAGAGAGAAGGCCGGAGAGCCCAGATAGAGTGAGGATTTGCTGGGGGCTGGGAAGACTGCCAGCCTCCCGGCCCGCAGCACCCCTGCTTGCCATATGCCTGGTAAATCTAAATAAGAGACCTGCAAAAGCCACTGAGGGCTCCAGGGCTCCTCCTTTACCTGGTCTGCTGGATCAGAAAACCTGCTCAGTGCCCTGTTCCTGTCGTACAACTGCCTGTCCTGCTGCCTGCTGGGATGAATGGGGGTGTGGGTTACCCACCCACCTGTGTGGGTCTGCCCTCTGTGAGCCCGCTGGGCCTCCCCATTCTCTTCACCAGAATGAGATGCCTGGGGTGTCAGGGGCCTGCGCATGATGGGGTATCCCTGGGGGCCTAGCCTCTGGCTATCTTAGAGGCCCATAGCCTGTGCCAGTCCCAGGCTGGTCTCCCTTCTGCCTTCTCTGGTGGCTGTTGATATATGGCATGGTCTGCAGGGGGACTTCAGTTGAGGCTCAGAGACTGTGAATTGCTGGGGAAGATCTGGAGCGCTAACTAGGGCTTCCTGCAGCCAGCATTCTCCCTGGGAGGGAGCACTTCATGGGGAGAAAAGAGGCGCCATCTCTCTGCTCCCAGCCAGCCTGTCCCACTTGGAGTCTTTCCCAGCAGCGTCACTTTCCCTGTTCTGTCATTCATCTTCCTCTTACCCTCATATTGTACTTTTCTATCCCCTCCCTCTGGCTCAGTGGGACTTGAACTTAGAAAGAATAGGGAGCCTTGAGCAGCCTCTGCAGCGCCAGTTTGATCACCAGCCACTGGCGAGGGTCCCACAAAAAAAAAAAAAAAAAAAAAAAAGGAAGAATAGTGAGCCTTGAAATCTCAGTCCAGCTACTAAGCAGTAGCATGACTTGAGCCTCAGGTTTTTCATCTAGAAAATAATTATTTCTTCCCAGGCTCGTTATGGAGATTGTATGAGATGATAATGTATGGAAACCTCCAGGCAGGTAAAAGCAGTGAATTAGACCATAGAATTAGACCTGTGCTAGGCACTGTTCTGAGCAGTCCATGATCCAGGGAGGCAGGTACTATTCAGCCCCATTTTATAGGTAGGTTAAGTTGAGGCCCAAGGTCAGACAGGTGGCAGGAAGCTGAGCTGGGACTGTGAATGCAGCAGCCTGACTCTGAGCCAGTATCCTTCTACCTTGTGGGGATAGTTGCTTGTTGAGCACTGGTTAGGTTCTGTGGCTCCTGGCTGATTCAGGAGCTGCTTGCCATTGCATTGAGGAGGCTTATGGTTGGGATCTTTATTCCCCCCAATCCTTCTTACTCTCTCTCCCTTGGTCCCATATGCCCTCCTGTGTATCTTGGGCTAGATCTGGGCTCTGTTTTCTCAGATCTGCACCCAGGGGTGGAGGCAAGCACCTTAGGTCAAAGTTTCACTAAGAAGTCTAAATTGAAGTTTGTATGTGTTATTTTGGGGATCTGCCCTTTAAAAGAAGGACAGAGTGATTTGATTTAACAGACATTAGCAAGGCAGACCTGAGGCTGACCTCCATTCAGCTCACAGCCAGAGGTTTTATTTTATTTTTTTTAAACTCTTTTTTCTTTTTTTAAGATTTATTTATTTGTACAAGCACTGGGTACAGTCAGAAGCACGGGAGGGTGAGAGAATTCACCAGAACCAGAGCGGGGAGCAGAGCAGGCAGAAGGACCGAAGTACACTGCTGAGGGGAGCAGCGGGCGGCAGGAGAGGTCTGCGCGCCATGTGGGACCCTCCTACGGTAGCGGGGTGGGGGTGGGGGGGGTTGGCGGCCGAGGAGCAGCTGGGGAGCGAACCAGTGCTGCAGAGGCCGCGGGCAGCTTCGCAACCCAGCAGTCAACCGCTGCGCCAGCCACCGGGGAGGCCCACAGCCAGAGGTTTTAACAACAGGGTCCTGGCTACCCACACAACCACCCTCAAGGCTGAGTCTACTTGGAGTAATGGGGGGGGGGGTCTCAGCCCTTAGGGGCCCATTAGCAGGGAACTGGGAAATCAAGTTCACAGAAAAGAGGAGTAAAGGGTAGGGCCTCAACCGGCACTTCTGACTCCTGATGGGGTACTTTCTTTGATTCTTTTCTCCCTTTTATATTTTGTCTTCATATTTAAAGCTTCAGGAGAGAGTTGATGCTCAGTGAGCCTCTATGACTGTAATTCCACGTGTGAGGATGGAAGTCCTCGGAAGAGGCCAATTGCTTATTCCGAGGAAGAGCCCAGGGCAGGAAAGGGCTGGAAGCTTGCAGCAGGAGTTGAAGTGACTTGCCCACAGGCACACAGCCTGCTCTTTCTCCAGGCAGGAGCACCCCTTCTTGCCCACTAGCTGAGGGCTCTGGAAAGGCAAGGAATTTGAGAGACCGACCGGGGCAGCAGAGTAGAAGCACTCCTTCTAGGGGCCTGGAGCCTTGGGTTTGCAACCAGCTCCACCGTGGGCTGGTGTGTGGTCTGCGAGGGGGACTCTTCCTGTGTCTTGTGTGTTCCAGTTGCACAGATGCCCTTTCCACTGACCACTTGCCTCCAGCCTAGGGGTGGGTAATCCATTTAGCCAGCCATTCCCACGCCCTTGCCCTGGAGACCAGAGTGTGAGTAGTCCTGGGCTGGGGGAGAGAAGATCTCCCTTTTCTCTTTCCTCAATCACTTCTTCCGCGAGTCCGGTAAGAGTCCCTAACAAGGGGTGCAGTTTTCCTTTCCTGACTTGAAAGAGGCAAAGAAAGGCAGGGGTAAGGGTGTGGGTGCTTTACCAGGACAGACATGAGATAAGAATCAGGGACCTCAGTTCTAAGGCAATTTTTGTTGTCTGTCACATGCTCAATGCAATACAAGGGAGAAAGAAAGATATTCAATGTGTAATTGGACCTCAGAAATGACCAAATGTGACAAAAAAATAGGTGTGTTTTAGCATCAGGGAAATATATTTACTTAGAAATGAAAATTGATTGCCTTTAACTTATGATAAGATAATATGTGCCTCTGAGTCATTGTCATGCATTTGTGTTCATAAACCTCCCTCATTAAGTAGTAAGGGTACATATTTTATCTTAATTCATTTTTTATAGGGCCGTGAATTCCTGCATTTATCTACCTTTGTTTTTCTGTGTGGACATAAGACTGCCTGGCTTCCCTGAGGTGAGATAATTTATTATCTAATAACAATTTCCCTGGAATCCTGTCTAGGGCTGCAGTGCGTTGTAGCTTCTCTTCTTTCTGCCTGATTGTCACTTTGAATGATTCATGTCATCTGTCTGCCTCAGTTTCCTCCTCTGCACCATGAAATGAGCATATTCCAGCTCTCACAGGATGGTTGTGAGGTTCTGTGAGCTACATCTACACAGCTCTATGTGACTCTCAGGGTCAAGTCCTACAGCCACTGACATTAAGGGAGCAAACAGGTCCAGCCCACCTCTGGGTAGCCCCACTGATGCCTCCAGGCAGTCTCCCAGGCTTCAGTATGGAGCTGTTGCCAGCTCCTCTGTACCTGACCCTACAGGTTCCCTGGAAAACTCAGATCATCTCTTCTGGATCTGTTCTGCAGGGGGAATTCCAGGACAAGATGGACACTTTGGTGACTGCTGGGGCACTCCATTGGACATCAGAGCTTCCTTTAAACTCCTGAGATGTCAGGGCATGGGCCAGGTAGCACTCATTGTACACTCTATGTTCTAAGCACTAAGAAGCTTTATACATTCATCAGTTCAATCCATCCTTATGAAAATCCCATAATGCAGGTGTCATTGCTTCATTTTATAATTGAGGGATCTCATAATACATGGTTGTAAAGATCATAGGCTCTGGAGCCAGACTTCTGGGATCTAAATTCATACTCTTAACTATTGGACACTTGATTTCAATTATCTGAACCTCAGTTTGTCCTCCTATAAAATGGGAATAATGAGTAGCATGCTGTACCCATGCCAGACTTCATGGGTGAGGGTGAGAATTCAATTAGCTGTTGAGTGATGTGCTGCAACTGGTAACAGAAGGCTGGTGCTGCTGCAGAAAAATGACCACACAGGGAAATTCCCGCACCCAGGCACTTAGCCAGGAAGAGGTAGAAGTAAGTGTGTCTGGGATCCAGATATACTTGCGTCTAAAAGCCTCTGCCGTAATCAACAGCATCGTATTTTCTCTTTTCACTGAGCTTCCTGACCCAGACCTGTTCCAAATGGAGCCCAGAGCCTGCTGAAAGAGCTGGAGGGTACTGGTCAGTGAGGACCGACCAAGCATCTGATGGCTCATGCTTGGGCAAAGAACACTGCACACGCCATCGCGGCCTATTGTCATGGCCCACATAGTGTGGATGTTCTGGAAAACTGTCTGGTTTGTCTCCTAAAAAGAGAATTGAGTGGACATTTACAACTTTTATAGACTCTTCCAGGGAAGGTCTATCCTTTTAGAGGGATGGCTATCCTTTTGTTAGGGAAAGTGGAAGAGTACGTGATCCGAGTTGGAGGAAAAGATGGAGATCAGGATGTGAGTTGGGAATGGAGAGGAGAAAATAGCTGGGTCCACGAATGACCAGAAGTGTTGCTCTCCCAGTGCACTCGGCAGTGGCTTCGTGCGCTGGAGGGACTTATCCACAGACCACACTGGGAAGTGGCAGAGTGACTTGGTCCTCTCCCACCCCGTGCCCTTTGCACATGCTGACCTCCTTGCTTGGAATGTCTGCTGAGCACTCACGTAGGCATGCTCTGCATCGGAAGGGAGTTTTTCTTTAAGGCTCATATTTACTTCATGATCTCCGCACCCTTGCCAATGATTGATTTATTTATCTTTAATTTTTTTTAATTTGCAGATTTCTCCAGTCAACTATAGCTGTCTATAGAGTAAGGCATTGTCGGTCTTATCCATTGCTGTAGCCCCAGCTCCTAGGGCAGTGCTTGACTCGTACCCATGGTGTTCGGGTTCACTTGACATTTCTCCAGGTCTTCAGCATTCTCTCAATGAAAATATGCGCGCTAAGAATCTGACCCCATGATGGTGCACGGGTGCACTGGTGAAGGAAACTCTATGGGGACTACACCTGAGGGGGTGGGGGGAAGCAAATATTGTTTAAAAATGAACAATGATGTAAAAAAAGAGGAAAAAAAGAGTGAACTACAACTTTTCACACTGCTATTTTTTTTTAGATGACAGTTTATGAAATAACAATGCACATACCTCACAATTCACCCGTTGAAAGTGTTAAGTTAATGTTTTTAGTGTATTCACAGAACTGTATTGTCATCACCTCGAGGGGAAACGCTGCGTCTGTGAGCCGTCACTCCCAGCCCCTTGCCCCACCCCACCCCCACTCCTGGCAACCTTCATCTACGTTCCATTCCGTCTTTGTGGATTTGCCTATCTGGACATTTCATACAAATGCAATCCCATCGCATGTGGTCTTTTGTTGACTGGCTTCTTGTGCTGAGTATAATGTTTTCAAGCTTCATCCTCATATCTGTAGTTCATTCATTTTTAGTGCCAAATAATTGTCTATGGTGTGGACAGACCAGACTTGGTTTATCTGTTTATCACTTGGTGGGCACTTGGGTTACTTCTGCCTTTCGACTGTTATGAATAATGCTGTTGGGAACACTCATGTATGAGTTTTTGTGTGGACATGTGTTTTCATTTCTCTGGGGTACAGACCTTCTTGTTTTTGAACTATCTTCTGCCAACCAGCTAGTGAGGACTCTCATTTGAATGGATGGAGCCTGCTCTCCTGGGAGGGGCTTCTGCCTTCCCTTTCCCCAGCCCCCATTCGGGCTTTTCCCTTCAGGGACTCAGCAGGGGCTGGCAGCTGGAGCCTTCCATCCTGGTGGCTGGGCAGGCGTGCCATCCAGGGAGTAGCACCTCACCTTTGGCAGCACCTCACCTTTCATCTTTATGGAGGGAGAACAAAGATCGAAATGCCTTGTCCCCAGACAAAAACAGACACAGCATTTTAATGATTAACACCCCAGTGTCGCTATTGGTCTGAGCTGGCCTCCAGCTGTCAGTGGGCAGCAACACCCTGCTGGCTGGTGCCTTTGCGCTCTAAGCCCCAGGAGGAAGAACCATTTCATAAAGATTTGGTGCTTCCCTGTGAAAGTCCCTGCATGTGCAATTGATCTTCTGCCATGGACAGCTTCCTGGCATGTTCTGGGCAGCTCCAGAGCCATCCCTCGGGATCCCTGAGCCTCCTCAACCTGCTCCTGGGGTGTTCTGCCTGGTTATTTTCATTTGTTATTTCATTTTTATCTTCTTAGCCACCCAGTCAAGTAGCTGCCACTCTCTCCATTTTACAGGGAGGGATACTGAACCCAAACTTTAATCCCTTATCCTCACCTGCTCTACCAAGGAATCCAATAGCACCTAAAGGAACCTCTGGAAGCAAAAGATGCTGCAACAAAGCCAGAAGTTCATATACTTTTTGTCTCTTCTTTGTGAGACTAATTTTTTTCTTTTAATTTTTTCACGTGGATTTCATCTCCCTCTTAGCTCCTCCTCTCTCCCCTCCCCAATAGCCTCCTTAGTTTATCTAAAGTGGACACAGAGGGACTTGAAGTTGTCAAATTGAGTAGCACAATTCTCTGATCATCATTTATCCAGGCACCGGCTCAGTTGCCTGAGCCGGTTATTCACTCCCTGCACAATTATTGAGCTCCCTCCATGCCCAGCGCCAGGTTCCATGCCATGCATGAGGGTCGGTCCATAGATGGTGGTGGTGTGGTTCAGTTCCCCAAAGACCTCGGTGTCTACTGGAGAAGTAAGCACACATTAATAGTTAATAACGAGAGCATTCCTGGAAAGGGATTTGCAATGTCGTCTGAGAACACAAGGAATAAAAACTTACATGGAGAAATTATGGGAGACTTCCCAGAGAAGATATCAGTCTCCGAAATCCTTCAGTTGGAAACAGGAGTTTATTTTTCATTTATTACTGGGCAGAAACTGTTAGTGGCGATCTCCTTCATTTAAGCAGCCATGACCCATGTCACATACTTGGCCTTTCCTGGCAATAGCTATTGAGACCAGAGGTTAACCTTGGGCTCCAAGAAAACTGAATCTTGGGTAGTCAGGTGACCACTGATAAGAGGCCTGGCTTGAGAAGATGAGCTCAGCCCATCAGATCCCTTTTTTTGGGAATTTGATCTGGGAACAGCAATGGATTAGTTAGCGCTGGTGCTGCATTTGCAAAGTTGCAAGGTAGAGTTGAGGTTGGAAGGTAATGGTGAGTGTGTGTGTGTGAAGGTAGAGAGGTGCTAAAGTAATAAGTAAATGGAAAGGAGAAAAATGAGTTTAGGGCAGATAGACAGGATCTGAGAGATCATGAGGAAGAGAGTGTCCAGTGGCTTCTGGAGGACAGCAACTGAGTGATGTGAGGGGCCATGACACCTTTCCATTCTCATGTGCTTCTCTACTCCTGCTTCTGTCCTAGAATGTGTGTGGGAGATCCCTGAACAGCTCCACTAAAGCTCCCTTTTAAAAATGAGCTATAATGAGTCTTGGTTCTTGAATTGCAGAGTTGTGGCTATAAAAATACTCAATTCCAAAAATGTTTTCAGCTAGAGCAGAGCTTTTCCAGTTGGGGAAGGGGAGGAAGTCATGTTGGAACATTATAGAAAAGGTCAAGCCCTGTGGAGGTGGCTCATTCAATCTGGTTGGGCCTACAACCAATGATGGCATTTGTGAATTCTAGAGCTAGGTTGGAAGGGCTTTATAATAGTCCTTCATGATTTATGGAAGTGAAAACACAGTAAGTCAATAAGTTGGCTTATAAACCACGATATGAAAAGACTGGCCTTTCTCAGGAATAAACCCATGCATTTCCCTTTGATTCCTGTCCTCTCTTCACAGATAGTTCTCACCTGAGGCATCTTATCTCAGCTACACTTTGGCAACTGCAGAGAGAGAGGAAATGATTTTATTTTTATAAGCCTGATCTTTTTACAGTCCCCTCTTGCCAACACTCTCTGTTATCAGGAACTGAGAGACTGCATAGGTCTCCTCATTTGTCACTGAACCTGAGTGTTTTCCTTTCCTGCCTCTTTCCAGTCATGTTGACCTTGTGTAAGTGAGTCAGTCTCTTTGAGTCTCATTCGCCTCGCCTATAAAATGGGAGTAATTGTATCTACCTAGCCGGACTATAGGGGCGGTTCTTTTCCAGCTTCCTGTGGGGGAAGTCCCAGGGTTAAGAACAAATTCTTCATTTAATTTTTAATTTTCCAGTCTGTTACAGACTGTTACTATAATGCAGCTTGTGTCTTAAGCAACCAAATTCAACAACACCCAACATGGTCTAGACCATATTCCCTGAGACTGTTCACTGGTTAGGTGCTTGGTGGCCCTAGCCAGGTGCAAGTGTCACACAGGTTTTTAACCACTCATTTTCTTTGCTACATTTCTTGTGAACTGGAAACAAGTACTTTGCAGACCAGCACTTTGCAGACCAGCCTGTGGACTATTGTAACACTGGTTGAGGGGCTTTATGGAATCCAGTCGTGGCAACACATGCATAGAGTATTGGGGGCCTAGGGTGCTTTATACCTGTAGCTTGTGTGTGGTCTCTTTCTGGGATCAGAATGTGATGCTGATCTCTTTCTTCCTGAATATACTTAACTCTTCCTTCAGCTTTTCTGACTGCATTCCTACACTAACTTAATGTTTCTGGTGAGTCCTTTTCTCATTGTTGTGGCTTGGACTCTGCTGCCTTCTGGAAGGTAGCTTATCTGCATTTCAAGGTTACACTGGTAGGTAA